CGAGGAGAAAATTTACATTCGCTGTCAACTGAGATTTATCATGCATCTCCTCAATAATTCAAACTGAATGAGAAAAATTTTACATTAACTTTTGCTCTTTAATCGTCCTCTTTTAATACCTATATAGATGAATCAATTTATGTTGTAGAAGCCAAAATTTAAACTAAGACAACTAAAATGTATTAAATGAATTTAAAAATTAGTACTGATAATGAAAAAATTGATGAATGGACTTAGCAAGATCTTCCTTTAACAACTTGCACTCCAGAACTTATTAGATAAATTGAATTATAAGATTACTTTTCCCATTTAGATTTGCCAACTAATTATTGTATTGATTGGAATAAAATTAAAGAATTAAATTTAGAGGGCACTTTTGATTCTTTAATTTATAGCGCTATTTTATTAGAATTTAAAATTTGCAATAATTTAACAAAAAAATCCAAAGAATGCTAATCAAGGGATGAAATCAAAAAATAGTTAGAATAAAACTATTTTTCTTTTTAAATATCCTCATATGTTGTTGATGTGAAAAATTATAATTATCCTTTTTTTTCAAAAGTTGAAGATACATTTACTACTATATCTAGTAAGATTTTTAAAGAAATATCATTTTATATGTAGCCATTAACAGTATTTACAGATCTAGGATTTTTCAATGAAGATTACGAAGTTCAAAACACCTTAAGATATAAAAGACATACAGAAATGATAGATTTAAATGAGAGTGATTTAATTATGAATGTTGTAATACGATTAGATTAAATTGAATAATAATATTATAGACATTACACTAAAATTCAAATTATCATAAGTTAAATGGGTGGACTTTGGCAGGTATTTTTTACTGTTGCTTTTCTAATACAGAAACCTGTAAATATGTTATCTTATTATGTTAAAATTTTGAATTCGTTATTTGAATTTGAGTAAGAAAAAAATATAAATGCCACTAAAAATTAAAGAAATGAATATCCTAATCCAGAAACACTAGAATAAGAATTTTCGACAAGGTAATAATAGCAATTCACCAAAGAACTAACTTTTCAGAATAAAAAAAAACCCCTTTAAAGATTATAATCTATAAAAAGAAAGAAGAAACAAATGGAAGCTATAGATTCCCTAGCTTTAGATCCTTAATCAAAAGAAGATACTAAAAAATAATTAGTATAAGCAATGTCTTTTTCGATAAAATAATATTTTCTTAGCATTTCAAAAAAGTTAAAAATGAAATGGACTGATTATTTTTATTTCATAAACTGCTTTGTTAAGTAAATTGTATTTATTATTTAGGTCCAAAAATTATAAAAGTCTTCAAATTTAATATTCCTTTAATAAAATAATTAAATAAATGGATATTTTATATATACTGAAAAAACTGCAAGAAATAGATAAATTGAAAATGATATTGTTAACAGAATCTTAGATTAAGATTTTTGATTATCTGTAAAAACCTACAATTCCATTAGATCCAGATTCGGCAAAGTTTAACATTACTTAAAATTATTATTCTATTATAAAACCTATAAAAAGCAAATATTAGAAAGCTGTTGATGCTCAAAATGCATTTAAAGATATCGTAGAAAATCTTGATAATCCAATTAATTAGAAATTAATAAATTCTATAGATCAAAATATTTTGGATTTATTAAAAATTAGAAAGGATAGTTTGGATTAATTATCTTAAGATGATGTCTGCATTAGTGAACAAAAATATGATCGAAATGCTGTGCTTACAATTGATATCAATTAGAGGCATTTTTCATTAGTAAACTGAAGACTATACATAAAAATACAAACAATTTAACCATAATATTTTTTAAATCGAATATTTCTAATTCATTAATCATTTTCCTAAAGTTAACAACTGGCTATTTCATTAAATTTAGTAAATTTATTATTTACCTACAATTAGATCTTGATTTACTTTGAATCTAAAAAATTAAAATTTGTTCTCCTTTGGTTAAGTGTTCCATTTGGTGTTCAAAATTTTGGTTTAGTTTATTCTCCTCCTAATGAACTCTTTAGTTTTATGATAATTCTTGAATTTTCTCATGAGTTTTTTGGTCCATACTTACTCTTATATATCCTTCATTTTTGTCTTCCTAAACAAAGTTCTTATACTCATAATTTGTTTTATTTCATCAAATCTTTCTGTTTGTATCATTATCATATTCCAATTCATAATAATACCCTATTTAATTTCCTTCCTCAAACTCATGTTATTACTTTTCTTCATCCTTATCATTCTCTAATATTCTTCTTCATGAGTCTATTTAATTATTTTTTATATAATTCTTTTAAATTTTGCTACTCTAAATACATACTGAACATTTAAACTCAAGAACTAAAAATAATATAATTATTTACCAGCATGATTTAAAATGAAAAAGTAATGATCTTCTTATGTTCTAATTGAGATCTCTTAATCAGATAAAAAAAATATTATGTCAATGATTTTAGAAATTGTACTACATTTCCTTTATTCTTGATTGTTTATGAGGTAACTTATTTTTCAACATATAAATTAAATACCGTTCCTCTATTAGTTAATTGAGAAAAAGAAAATCTAAATTAAAAATATGAATAATTCCTCCAATGAGAACTAAAATATTTTTGAAATTTTCTAAATTCAATTGTCCCTTTTATTTTATTAATCAAGCAAATTATTGCTGGATAAACTAAATTTAAGTTATTCTATATAGTTTTTGATTGAAATAGGATTTCAATCTGTATATACTTTTAACGAGATTTTTATAAAATTAAATCCTGTTTGAAGGATTCAAATCCTCGAGAAATTAAAAATTCATATTTAAATTTTTAGAAAACAAATTTTGTATTTTAATCACCAAATTTACTCCCATAATGAATTTATATAATAATAATAATGAGAGGGAGAATTTTAATTTTGGAAATATGAATAGAATTGTTTGTTTACTCTAAATTAAAGTTGGTAAAATAACTGCTGAAATTGTACTGGCCTCTAAATTAGCATTAAGACATGAGTATTACCTTTATGGATAACAATTTGAATATCAATATATCCAACGGACAAAATAAAAGAGGAATTCCAAAATATAAGAGTAATAGAAATTACACTTATGAGGCTATAAAAA